GGCAGGCTCTGCCCCGGGCAGCAGCCGCACACGAGCGTGTCAGGCCGTGGGGCAGCCAGGCCATGGTGGGACCCGAGGTGCACGGGGAGCACAGGTTTTAATTATCCCTCTAGCCCAGACAGTCCTTGGCCGGTCCTGGCCCAGGAGTCATGCCGGGCAACCAGGCTGAATCAGCACAAGAGCAGCCACATGGGTTTGCCCTCATTTATGTAAGCTAGTTTTAGCACTGTTTTACATTAAAACTGTTCTAAATTAAATTATACAAAAATTATTTTATATTAAAACTGGGACTACTGAGCCCTGCGAGAACAAGAAAACTCGATGCCATGGCCAATGCTATAAAGTGCAATTCCCAGCGAGGGCTTGGTTTGTACCTTTGCATAGAGGCAGACCTTGGCACGGGGGGGCCAGGGCCCAAAATGCCGAGGGGAGGTCCAGCCTAGAGCCAGCAAACCCTCCTGGCAGCCGGGCGCTGAGGGGCCGGGGGGCCGGGGACCCCATCTGCCTGCTGTTTCATTTTCCGAGGCTGCAGCAGCCTCCGCGCCTGCAGACCCAGCGATGGGGCTGGGACAGGCAGCAGGGGAGCTGCCGGGGTCCTGGGTCACTGCGGGGGGCGAGGACAGTTCTCTTACCTCTCGGCCTGGCAGGCGAACACCGTGGTGCTCCACGCTTGCTTTTGAAGTGTAGTAAACACAGTATTTAAAAGAATACATTTTTAAATACGCAGCTTTTCTATAAACAAGGATACTGCTTGCATAATAAACTAATAAAAATAACCTGCATTCTAGCCTGCAAAGAATGCTATTAGTTTCAAAACAAGCAGCATTTTCTATGATAATTAAAAGCAGAAAACTCTCAAGACACGGGATAGAGTATTTTTCTTGGACTGAACTTGGGAGCTGAGAAGACATCTCTATTTTGGGGGCAGTGAAATCTCCTGCGCTGCCAGACGCAGTTAACGTAAGCGGGGTCAGAGCGAGATCTAGCCTGGGACACGGCCTGCCCTGGAGCACAGCGCGGAATTCGCCAGTCGGTTTTGCTCCGGCACCGTGCGGCTCTGGTCCCCGCTCACCCTGCAGCCTGCCCGTAGCCCGGTGGGGCGGCACCGCCGGCTCCCAGCCAGCGCACGGTGGGGAGGCGCTGGCCCACC